TGTAAGGTCATCTCAGGCCTTCCGTCCTTTAGAAACATTTGCCAAGATACCGGTTTGCCAGTAGGTCCAAACCCTCCCTGACGTTCTATCGTCATGGAATTTAAAGCAATGTAATTAGTTGAGCAATGGGATCTCCTGCCATGACACAGTAAGGAACAGAAGTACTAACCATTCTTAAAATTTCATCCTTAAAATCAACATCTATAATTCCTAAGTGGACATGAACTCCCTTGGATGTAAGACTACTTCGTCCAATAAGACGGCCAAGGGACCCTGAAGGAAGAGGGCCATAGATGCCAGTTTTAACCTTATAAATTCCCAAGGCAGATTCCAGGACCAGGGAATCTGGGGCTGGGATATCTAATGCAGAGCTCCCTCCTGTGGCCTGGAGGGGGTCATGGACGGATTTGCATGAAGAGTCCCTTTGCTCACAGGATAACAATGTAGAATCTGATTCTCTATATTGTTTACATTAGGGCCTGGGGGCGGGGGTGGATTATGCCTTTTCCCCAGGAGACAACAGGGGAGCTCCATTCTTATGGAATTTAGATCCACATTGATTTGCAAAGTGACAGCCTTTATTGCATGGGTCCCATAACCCAGGAGGTTTAGTATTTCCTTCTGGTGGCCTAGGGGGATCACAGCAATTGTTAAGACTCTAGGACTCAGCTGTGGACAATCCCTTTTACAATGTCCCAATCTGCCACAGCGAAGACACTTGGACTGTTTGTGAGGTCCAGTGCCTTGAATAGCCCCTGCCAGTAGCCCCATTTTATAGACCTCTGAGCCGATATCTTGACAGGCCTTTAAATAATCACTTAAATCGCCTCATTGACACTTCACTGGGCATAAAGCTCGTTGGCATTCCTTATTAGCATTATCAAAAGCCAGCAGCAGTAAGAGGAGATGGAGTAAGCCCGCAAGAGAAACGGTTTTTATAATAACATCCTTTAGCCCATCCATGAAATCTACATCGGGCTCCTTAGGACTCTTTAACTTGAACAAAAGAGGTTGTAGCCTGTCCCGGGGTAGCCATTTTCTCCCAGGCACCAAGGCAGCACAACTAACTTGTATCATCATACTGAAGCTGAACCTGTATGCCAAACCATTGTCCAGTCTGGTAAGTTGTTCTCCGGTAATGGTAATGGGCACAGGAGCATTGGCGGTGGCATCACGCCAGACCTGTATCTGTGCTTCTTCATCCCACCAAGTTCTAAACTGCAAAAATTCAGAAGCACTTAGAACAGTGCGACCTAGGACCCCCCAGTCCCATGGAATGAGTCGCTCTGAATTCACTAAACCAGACACCAATCCCAACGTATAAGGGGAATTAACACCATGTTGCTTGCAAGCCCGTTTCAAATCCTTAATGACCTTAAAACTTAAAGGTAATGATGATCAAGTCGTTGCCCTCCCTGAGGATATTGCTGATGAGGAGGAATTTGGGTAATGTGGAGAGTATAAACTGCAGCCATACTAGCCATTAATTCAGTGTCCCTCCCAGGCTTAGCTTGTTGAAGCATCTGCATCATGGGGGAAACAGGAACTGTGATGCTCCGAGCAGAAGTATCAAGAAATGGGTTTTTTGAATAAGCGGAACATTTAGTTTGCTCAACAGGATCCACCGGCTCAGGACCGTGGGGCAGTGCGGGAGGCAGGTGTCCAGAGGCTTGAGCTGCAACTATCTCTGGGCCATTAACCCGGGACCCCCATAGGTTTCTGTCCCTATGGTGGTGGGCCTAGGGGCTGGGCTCCTGGTCCTCATTATCCACAAGCTCATGATCACTTTCAGCCAGTGAGGGGTTGCGAGAACCAATGCCCCCTTCTTCCCCGGATTCTGACTGCAAGGGCTCCAAAGCCAGGGAAATACATAAAGACCATAGCGAGAGAGGGATTACTTTTCTTTTTGATGAGGAGTGGAAAAGCACCTAAGACCAATTCCATAATTTCTGATTCAAAGCATTTTTGCCAGAGGGCGTAAACTGGTAACAATGTTTCTTTACCAAATAAAACAAATCCTCAAACGCAGAAGGGTTCACCTCTACCCCTGAGCTCTTTAAAACTCTGCAAGAGCTAAATATATGAGTCCTAACTAGATGAGGTAGAATTCCCCATACTTACCCTGCAGAAATCCCGAAGGCTGAGCTTCCCGGCTCCAAAGTTCCCTTCAGTTCCTGTGGCACTTCTTCAGCAGTGTGGCAAACGTCCACCTTCAGGTCCCTGTTCTGGCGCCAGCTGTAGAGAGACAGGATCTGAAGGTGCGGTGAGGGGAGAATTGCAAAGCAGGAGGCTGACTTGTTGCATCCACATGACTCCTGAAACAATGCTATGGCACCAGTGACAATCACAGCAAAGTTTATTGCACTGAGAGGCAAGGCCAACAGAGGGGACCACCACTTTGGCTCAGAGTGCAGCCTCGAACAGCCAGGGTACAGAGTTTTTATAGCCGACCACATCATCTTATCATTACCTGGGAACAGAGCAAAGAAATAGCTCCCAGATGAGGTGGAAACAGTTCCCGGATGCGGTGAGTATTCTAGACTTTCTGCCTTTAAGTCACAACCAGTTCATCTCCTTGACCCTGCCTCTGATGCCATTTTTCTTTGAACTTTTGTTCCCTTAATTGGTGAAGTGTAATTTACAAGAGTATGAAGCCTAATTTACAAGAGGAAAGCAATGCTGTTACCTCTTAACCTTCAGAGTCAAACAAAGCTGTTATTTCTCAAGCTAAAGTGTCAACACAAAGCTGTTATCTCTCAAGCTATAGGTTAGCCCTACACTACAATTTAACCCTTTCAGACTCTCCAGGAACCTAAGCACCAGTCTCCTGGCTCAAGCCTCTTTTATTTTTGCAAATTGTCTGATAACAGCAAGCACATACAACGTAGTATTTGGCACCTTGACAGGCCATGCACCTGCAGTGTATTTTATACTGGGTCATGAGTACATCTGGCACCAGACAAAACATTCTTATCCCAGGCCTGATGTCCATACTATGTCTTTCTGGAGACAACCAGCAGTCCAGGCGGCCTTTTGCCCTGGGAATGAAACTGCTTTCACTTTTTTGCTGTTCTGTCCCTTTCCTTCCAGACATTCTTACGGTGCCTCCTGCTTCTTGTTTTCCAACAGAATAAAAAATTGGACCAAAACTTAGTATCTTCAACTTGGCAAAAGTAAAAGTAGGTGAAGAGAGTGTCCAACAGAGGGTCGGGAAAACACACTGTCATAAAGGATAATGGGAGTGATGACTGGTATAAAAATTTTCAAGGGTTCTGCAAAATGTCTCCACAACTGAAGTGTGCTGATACTGTGACATAGACATTCTCTTTTAGGAGTTTAAGCTTTTTAAAAGTTTTTTATTTCTTTATTTTGAGAAAAATGAGAAAGAGTGCACGCAGGAGTGGGGAGGGAGGCAGAGAGAGAGAGGAGAAAAAATCCCAAGCAGTCGGACACCAGGCTGGGTCTCAGGAACCCGGAGATCATGAGCTGAGCTAAATCAAGAGGCTCATGCTTACCAGACTAAGCCACACAGGTAGGAGTTTATCCTAAGGAGATAATCACATGTGTTCTCAAACATATATTTTCAGGGGGGCGCCTGGGTGACTCAGTTGGTTAAGTGCCAGACTTTGGCTCAGGTCATGATCTCAAGATTTGTGAGTTTGAGACCCGTTCAGGCTCTGAGCTGGTAGCTCAGAGCCTGGAGCCTGCCATGGATTCTGTGTCTCTCCCTCTTTCTGCCCCACCCATTTTCACGCTCTGTCTCTCAAAAATAAATAAACGTTAAAAAACTTCAACACTAGGGGCTCCTGGGTGGCTCAGTAGGTTAAGCCTCTGACTTCAGTTCAGGTCAGGATCTCATGGTTTGTGAGTTCGAGCCCCACATCAGGGCTCTGTGCTGACAGCATGGAGCCTAGAGCCTGCTTCAAATTCTGTGCCACCACCCCCCTCAACTCCTCCCCAACTCATGCTCTGTCTCTGTCTCTGTCAAAAGTAAATAAACGTTAAAAAGTATTTTTTTAAAAAAACTTCAACACTATATTTTCAGGGATGTTCCTTGAATTGTGGTTTATAAAAACAAAGAATGGAACTATATCTAGTGCTAGAATCAATATGATAATGATAAGTATAAGTAGTGGAATATGTCTCAGGCATTATCCCCATGTGATGTACACAGAGGGTCAAAGTTAATCATCAAAGCAAACCCATGAGGCACCCCCTACGGGATCCCTTTGTACACACAGGGAGAGGGAGACTCAGGGAGGATAAGAAAGTAGTGGAACCAGGGTTCAATCCAGAACGTTTGCACTCAGAGGCTTTGTCGACTTGTCTTTCTTTGGTTCTCTGTCCATCGGGAGGTGGGTATGAGTGTGCACTCCATGCAAGTGAACTGTTGCAACGTTCCAGAATGTTCTGCGATGGGAGGCTGGTAGGCTCAGAGCCTAAGAGGACATTAAGAGACAGTGGGACTTGCGTGCTCAAATCAAACTAAAGCCCATCATCCCATGTACATCTCGAGGCTTCCAGAGGCTCAATGTCAGCTGACTCCAGAGGTAAATCGAAGAAAAAGCATGAGCCCCTGGTGACACAACACTGGCACTGTCCCGTGGGAGGTGGGCATTAGCAGAAATGACAAGAAAATGTAAGTCACTCCTGAAGTGAGTGTGTGTGGAGAAAGGTCAGGATATCCCGAGGACAGTTGACAGGAGACCTAACAGGTCCCCAGTCACTAGAATCAATCATGTCTACAGGGTGTAAGAGGCATATGGCATATGGAACAGAATCTGAACCACACACACTGATGAACAATCCTAGAACAAGAAAGAGCTCTTGGGATTTAAAACGATGACTCTAGAAATGAATAATTTAGTCGATAAAGTGGATGATTACAGTTGTACTTCCCTGAAGTAGTACAGTCGGGAGGTAAAGGAAAGAGGAGAGAAGACCTGTTCGGTTCTTAAAATTTGTTTCCAAAAATTTCAAGAATATTTCTCAGAGTTGACAGGGAGCAATGCATATGTTGAAAGTCCTACCCAAGTTCTTAACTAGAGTGGATGACAAGAGACCCACACGAAGACACGTCACAATGAAATGTCAGGAGGAGGGTAGAGGAGCAGACACCTCGGAAACTCCAGACACAACAACACAGAACTGGCAGCTGGGAGACATGACCCATGGTCCCCAAGTCCCAAGGACAACTGTGACCAGCACAGAGTCTCCATCCTGTCACAGTGGGAATCAGGGTGAGGGTAGCCCAAAGGCACGGCAGATGTTTAGAGTGTCAGTGTCTACTTTCCGTGTTCCCTCCATGGGATACCACTAGGCAAAGGGGAAAATGATGGAGGAAAGCAAAAGATGGGAGTGCGTGGGATCCAGGCAACAGGGGGCCAGAAGGAGAGAGGCAGAGGGCACCCAGGCTGAGCTGAGGGGGTCTGGCTGTCAGCCCTGTCAAAGGTGTGCAGGCATCCCGTCCACATGGGCAGGACTGAGGGCTGTGGGACAGGCGTCTGCATAGACATGAGGTGGAATAGTGGATGGGCTCGAATAGATTCATGAAGATTTATGCAGGGGGAGCTTGGGAAGGATTTAATTGAGAACAACAGACACTAAGCAAATGAAGGATATGTATTTACAACAGGAAAATAATAAGTTGAATCAGGAAAGGTAAAGTAATCATAGTCTACTAAATGCTCAGTTGTGAGTAGTATTTCACGGTCATACAAATGCAAACAGTGCACAGTGAGCTAATCAAAGGTATACAATAATTATATGGGGCACATGGGAGAGTGTGAAAGAGCAAATTCAGTAAAGATGATGCTCAAACCTGAAAAGCAGAGAATGGGTTCAAGAAGCAGGCTATTTAGAGGCACAGAAGCAATAATCAGAGAATCAGCTCACATAACTAATGCAGGTGATCTCGGAGATTCAGGATGGGGGGGCATGGAAGATTGGGGACACCTGACTTGACCTCAAGTACTGCAGAAGTATTAGACTTTTTAAAACTCTGTGTCTGTATCCATTTGCTAAAGACAACATGGTGGGTGAGAAATGGAGTCAGGAAAGTTCTGCATGGAGGCCATAGAGATGGGGCAGGAGTTGTGAGAGTCATGGAAACAAGTGTTGGATTTTTATGGGAGGATTTTGTTTGGATTTCTTTAGTTGTGTTTCATGTTTTTGCATTGGAGTCCGGACAGCATGTTTGTATGGGGAACTGCTGAGTCAGCAGAGAGGGGGAAATGGATGATGCAGGTGCCCAAATGGAGGGGCAGCCTGAGACAGGAGGGGTGCCTCCAATATCACTTGGAAGGTGAGGACACAGGTGCACATGTGGGGGAGGGGAGGGAGGACTGTGCAGTTCTCATTTGAGTCCTTCTTTCAGACTGAGAAACAAAGGAGCTCATCACCTCAGGAGGGGAGCAGGGAGGGGTGCAGGAGACTGAGGAGTGGGGAGGAAGTGAGAAGCAGCCCTCTCAGGAAGGGGACAGTGAGCTGACTGTGGAAATGGCATCTGGAGAGAGGAGGGCTGGGACCCCTGAGCTCTGTGCTCATCACCTTAGAGACAGAGTTCCAGCAGCAGGAGCATCTATCATAGACTAGGAGAAAATGCAACAAAGTAGCTCAGGTGTGAGAATTACCATCCTTTCTACTTTGTCCTCATTCACTTTTCTCATTTTATAATTTTTCTACAGGGAATATACATCACCTCATATATATTGTACATCATACGTACACATCATAACCAGTTTATACGTGTTTCTTTACACTTCAGCAAGGAAGGAGATGGTAGGAAAGTCAGCAGCTCAGGACACAGAGCTGGGGTGGGCGGGGGAGGGGGACTGGGCCTGACTGTCTGTGCCCTGGGCAGGGGACTCACAGAGTTTGCTCCATTTCTCAGGACCCTGTTCTCTGGGGGTGGGAGGGCGGGGGCAAGCACGATCTTTTTCGTGCTTCTGGGGTGTGCTCTTTTATTCATTTATTACTATCTTGTCAGTTTAAATACTTTCTAGACGATGGATTTTGTATGTTACATGGCATTTTAAGCTATTCTCATAGGAGTACTTGTCCATACAATCAAGCCCACCTGCTTCAAAAATGAAAATTCAAAGGCAAAATAGTTCAGGGAAAAGATGATTGGTCCTAAAGTAGAAGATCAGAACCCGAGTCTTGATTAATGGTCTGAGGATGATCTGTCATGTGTTAGGGATTTTAAACTAGTTTAGTTTTAGAAAACATCACTCCAGCACAAACGAGGAAATCCAGCAGATAATCACAAATATCCAAAAATAAAGATGTTACATGGTAATCCCTCATCCCCCCCCCAGTCACCCAAGTTCTCTCCCCAAAATACATCACAAAGAGCCATTTCTCCTTTCTCCTACCCCCCCCCCCCAATACATCCGTGCAAATATGTCT